AAGAGACTGTTTTTGAATGACCATAGTGAAAATCGCGTGGAAAATTGCATGGACTGACTGCTGCTTCACACTAAAGAAGTGCAGACAGTTTAGTGAGCCATTTTGCTTTATTCCATCATATTCTCAAGCCAAAAAATAATGAGTCTTTGGCTCCATTGCAAATGATTGAAAAGGGAAAAAGTTAAAAAAAAAACCAATACAACTAGAATAACAAATTAATAATTTATAAAAACAAGTAAAGTATATTTTAAGAAATAGATTGAAAATAAATAAGTTGAACATTGATTGTGAGATGATAATTATAGTTGATGATGTTGGTATTGAAGTTTATAATTTCGAAATTATTGATTATGTTACGGAACTATATTAATGTAATAATGTAATGGTTATTACATTACGACATTGTTATTACTTGAGTAAGGAAATGAATATTTACTTCTATTACATTACATTACATTATCGATTCCATTATGCACTCCATTCTATTTCATTGCATTGAGTTATATATAGTAAACATAGTCTTTGTGTTTTTGTAAACTTTACATTTGGATGGTGTGGGATGACCAGACTGTATTGACAAACATACAACAGTATATATTGGCACGTGAGTGTAGACATGAGAGGATTCACATATTAGTGTAGATGCTATGCTACCTGAGGTCTAATTGACACATCTTCCAAGTTAGTTGCATACACTTAAGCAAGTCATATCTTAAAACAGATGCAAACATACCACAGTTGCTACAAGAGAGTTAGAGCCTTCCCTCCCTAAGAACTCCCTGGCAGAACTTTCAACAGTCTGCAACAAAGCACAAGCTCAAGAATGAAAACTACAATAACTTCATGGGAATGGAACTCTAATTTGTCCAAAACGCGTACCAATCTGATTATTTGGTGAGATCGGGAACTTGTTTCATTTAGGTTGGTTTCTCCAATCTGTCTTTGGGCTGAAAAGTTCACAGGGTGAACATTAATTGCATACATGAAGGATGAAAATCATCACTAGATTGAAGCTTTTCCTTCATGTTACCTTCACATATGGAAAGAAGATTCATGACATGTTCCCAGTCCCTCACAGTTTCTTCTATAAGTTTCCCGACAACGGTCCCTCTCTGGTAAGATAGCCGTCCTATATGTCATCATCATGCAAATATATTTCTGTGTACCGCCTTTGGGAAAGATAACTCACCTCTGGATCATCCAGAAGTCTAAGTGGAGTATTATCTGAACACAGAAGGTCCCTCACTGACTCATTGTATATCTCCATTGCGGAGAACTTCAAAACGTATTCTCTCTCAGCTTGCTGCCAAAAACAAAAACAAAACAGTGCACCATATTATAGCTGATATAATTCAGGTTTGGATTGTGGTTGTTCAACTACGCAATGAGGCACTTGATTCAAACAATTCTAAAAGATTGAATCAAATTAGCAAGTTCAACTCAAGGTCTTATTGATATATCCTTTCATTTTTTAATGTCCAATGTAGGACTCTAACATTTGCTACTAGTAACACTAAAATAAAATCAAAACAAGCAAACAATGAAGTGAAACTACAGAAAAAACCACAACTAGCTAAATATTTGACTTACTTCTTGTATATGCTGATATATATCTGCAATGGCATACTCAGTAATTCCAGACATGGTATAAGTCTTTCCACTGCTTGTTTGTCCGTATGCAAAAACACTCGCTACCAAGTACATTCAACATTAAATAATAATAAAAGAGTAGATTAGTGCAAATTTGTTTTCGAAGACCAAGTCTTTTTTAACTCACAATTAAATCCGTCTAGAACCGATAGAGCCACTTCCTTCGCTGCATCCTCGTACACCTTTCTTGTGGAGCAACCATGGTTAAATACACTGTCTAGAAGCCACACCCCACCGAAAAAAGAAGAAAACTAAGAATGACTACATAGAAGGAAACGTATATTGGCTTTATCACAGTACATTTAGAACTAAACACCATAAATCAAACTAAAATGATTCAAGAAATCTTCTGAAGAGTCCCACATGTTATAAGTAAAGAGAAAATGATGGATTGAAAAGATCTTGAGTTGAACAATTAATAGATTAGATTCAATTTTTTAGTGTACTTCAACCCAAGTGTCTTACCACTCATGCAATTCTGAATTCTATTCTGTCAGTATTATACTTATAATCTACTGAATAGACAAAAGGGGGAAGCAAGAACGCAAATAAAGAATCCAAAAGGCTTGATGGTCAAAATCCCGAAATAGAAACATGGGATTTCAAGAACTCATGATTTGCTTACCAAATACATAGGCTGCGGGATACATAGACCTCTCAGAGGCTGAGAGATGAGCATTCTTGTAGACAATGGTAGTGCCATTCACACACTCCCAATCGGAAACATCGATCCTTAAAATCTCCTTTTCATTCAAAGGACGGAGGCGCACCGACACCAAAATCCTCTCCTGGCGTCCCCCCTCCATCGCACCACACTCTCCCAGAGCATCAAAAGTAGCTTTTCATCCTTATTGAGGAAATGGGCCTCCACGATTTTGACAATATAATCACTGTCAATAAACAAAGTTATGTGCCAGGAATGAAGCTTTTCTCCTCGTTATTTAGGTAATAATATAATATACGTATAATGCCTTCCTTGTCGTATGCATTTAAATTTAAGGTTGTTTTCCTTTCACTTCCAATACATGCAATGCTTTTGTATATTCGATTTGATTTTCTGTATTTGTTTATGATGATGGGGTGGATGGAAATCGCTGGTCCCCAAATACAGACTGTCACAGGTGTCTTGATTCTTAATGAACGACACAAGAAATTTGGCCGATTAGATTGACAATTTTGAGTTTGCATTCAGTTTTTCTTTTCTTTTTTTTTTATATGCAATCAAACCCTGTATTCACCTGCGTATGCATATGGGGAAAAATTCTTCCCTTGGGTCGTTTTCTTGGAAGGTTGATGTGACTCGTCGATTGAAAATTATTGCGTGCAAGGCAATTGTATGTGTTGGTCAGAAGGTTGACGAACTCTCTGCTCCTTTCTTTGAAGATCAGATCAGAGTTGAGAGAAACAGAGAGTTGACGATGGCAGTTGATTCGTGGTCGTTTTCACCGTTTTGTTCCGCGGCCTTGGGTCCTCCATTTACGCACCGCCAGTTTGGGATCCACACACCCTGTGAAAGGTGAGTCTATGATAATGTACCGCCCTTTACTCACACTAAAAATGTTTTATATTTAAATGTTAATGTTGTGATTATTACGTACTATGTACTATGTAGTATATTTGATTTGTAGTAATCAAACAGATAGGCGGTAAGGCACCCTCACTTTTTACGAGATACAGTACCACATACCATTAATTAATGTGCATATCATTTTCTCAATTATGCTTTCTTCTAAATATATTTATTTAGTTTATGAACGTACGTAATTTAGTTTAGATATACTCAGGGGCGGATCTAGCATTTACATTCAGGTGGGGCCAAAATTTAATTAAATAACGTATATTATAAAAAAATGTCAAAATGTAGTATAGTATAATAATATCTTAGAAGTCAAAATGTAAATTATAGAAATGTCAAAGAATAAATTGAATATTACAGAACCGACAATACAATTATCTTAAAAGTCATAGATATCGAACCGAAGTTTTATCGGTTACCCAAATGTTTAGTGTCAATTTTTAGGTTAGTTTCTCGGAAACAAGATAAACCGATTTTTTTACTCTAAAATCTATACTCTATGTAAAGATAGCATGGACTACTTAATTGAACTAATTGGTTTTTCAGACTAATAAAGCCCAATTAGTTGGACTACTTAATTTTTGCATCCTAGTATTCAGAAGTTAAAATTCAGACTTGATTTGTGTAAGATAGCATGTTCCTGGACTTGGATGGAAAATACAAAAAAAATGCTGCTCTAGCTAGGAATCGAACACATAACCTCTACACTACTAATCACGCATCTACCATCACACCAACGTAACTTTTGTTTACAATAGGACGTTTGTTCTAATTATACCATTTCTTCCCAGTACATATATAATATATATACTAGTAATTTCTTTTTTTTTTGAGGTGGGGCCTAGGCCCTCCCTGGCCCTATGCCAGATCCGCCTCTGGATATACTCCTTCCATATTTAAGAGTTTTTTATCATAGATTTGGGCACAACATTTAAGAGTGAAATAGGAAGATGTAGAATATTTTAAAATACATTCACAAAAGGAAAGCATAACAGACTTATTCAAGGTTATTTGTTTTCTTCCTACGTATAAAATCCTGTTGATTTTATAAAGATATGCTTTGAGATTCGCTGGTGTAGTTGGTCTTATCTTGCTTCCTATCACCCCTACAAAATGCAATTCAATCAGATGACATGCAATTTCGTGTCTTATACTATGATGATGGGAGGACTGTAAATGATTTTTACTAGTGAATTAGACGACTGGTTGCAATGGAGGGGTGAAAACCCCAAAAGAACTGCAACCAGGAGGATATTTCGTATGGGGAGTCTAGGAAACCCTGGGGGGCGATCTGTGGCCGGCAAATCGACTATGTCCTGAAGGAGTGGAGTGGAGTGGAGTGGACAGATTTAAAATGCTTCTGACAACCTGAGAGCAAATATGTGGACTATTGGCGCATGGGAGTTGGCTGCAAGTGGCCTGGTGGGTTAGCTGTGTGTGGATGAAGGCGAGTGGGAGGTTGTGTGGGATTTTAGTCTAAAAAATTTACAAAAAAAATTAATTCACATTTTTAATTTTTTTACATCGGAATGTTTGAGTTTTTAAGAAATAATTATTGGTCAAAATAAAATTAACACATAAATGATGTGTATAATAAAATAACCAAGGGTTTATGCATTTAATAAAAAAAATGTGCTGAGTGGATATATTGACGGTGATGGGTTGCAGAGAAAAACTGAATTGACTGACTGAATACGTATAAACTGGAGGGGAATTAGATTTATTGATGGGCTGGGGTGTGGTTTTCGCAAGTATATCAGGTTATATATAAACCCTGGAACGCGGTTAAGTTGGGCATTTTGCCGTCTATTTTAGCTTAGAAGTGAACTAACGGAATTCCTCAGTTTTCTTCACTCTTTTTACCCCAAACGAACCTCAAGCTATCCGGTGAATGACCCCAGCGGATGAAGCCACGTACGTCGGTTTTGGTGACGCGCCAAAGAATATCTCTGACACACCCTATCTTTGAATTGTCATCTCTGACCTAGCGTTGTTATTGACGAATCGCCAGGAACCCCAACCAGGCTTAAGCTTATTGTTTTTATTGTCATTCAAGAAAGCTTTAATTTTTTTCCTTCTGTGAATGTCTGAAATTATGTTATCTAGAAAATAATTAAAAAGGGTTTTCGAATTTCAGGGGAAACCGATAGGAACGACAGTATGCTTCTTTCTCGGGCTTGGTTCTCTTGTGGCTTGGAATAGCATGCTCACCATAGGAGATTACTATTATCAGTTATTTCATGTGAGAATCTCTCCATCTTTAATGGATGAATGGGTGTCGAAATTTATTTACGGTTAATAATATAGTGTAAAAAGGAGAATTAATTTGATTTTTTCGTGTTTATTCAGAATTATCATCCATCAAGGGTGCTTACCCTGGTTTATCAACCTTTTGCAATTGGAACAATGTCAATACTTGCATATAAAGATGAAAAGATCAATACTAGGATCAGAAATTTAGCATGGTATACCCTGTTCAGTCTGGTCACCTTTTCACACCTAATGGTATATATTCATTATTAAATCTGTCATTCCATTCTCATAAGTTTTGTTGTGTTTTTTAAGACCATATTTATGTGTAGTTCATTCAAATTGATGCAGTTGGATTTAGGCACATCTGGGAAGGGTGGGATTGGAAATTTCATGGGAATTTGTGTTCTTGTTGCATTCTTTGGAGTTGCTGATGCCCTTGTTCAGGGTGGACTTGTTGGAGACCTTTCTCTCATGTGCCCTGAATTCCTCCAGGTATTATTATTTTTATTGTATTTGTTATTGTTATTAAGGAGTGCTTTTTGATTTCTCAAATATACTTTGGGATTTTATTGCAGTCATACTTAGCTGGTTTAGCTGCTTCGGGAGCGCTTACTTCTGTCCCGAGGTTGGTGACGAAAGCTGCTTTCAAAGGCTCCAACAATGGTCTCCGGAAAGGAGTTAGTAAGTTTCACTTCCGTCCTGCTATTGCACAATCTTAGATTAAACCATTGGGTTTGAATCTTATTTATACTAATGTCTTCTGCAGTTCTGTTTCTGACAATCTCCACATTCTTTGAATTCATATGCATCATTCTCTATGGACTTGTCTTCCCAAAATTAACTATTGTAAAGTACTATCGCTCAAAGGCAGCTTCTGAGGGATTAAAAATTGTTGCTGCTGATTTAGCTGCAGCGGGAATTCAAACAAATGCAGTAAGTGACCATATTCCCCTCTAAGGTTTCATTTGGTAGCTTTGCCTGACTTATTATTCTTATGACCATAATAGTTAACTTTTGACTTATTTGGTCAAAGGGGATGTTATCAAACTTTTTATCTTTTCGGAAAGTTCAGCAGATTAACCTTGTTAGCCGAATAATTCTTGATGGAGTATATGGTTCAGGGACCCCCGGCCCACATACTTCCACAACTGCAATCAGGCCTAACAGACCCAAACAGGCCAGACCCAGCAAAATGAAGCTCTAAGCAGCCCACAATACGCAAGGGGGTGCCTTCGGCCCCATGACCGAAGGCTACCGTTGACAGAATTGAGCTCAGAAACATCACAGGTGAACAAGGCTTGAAAACCAAGCCTTCGGCATATACAGCCCTCGGCACATGTAGGCCCCCGGTTAGAAGAGCCTTCGGCCCAACACCCTTCAGCCGAAGGCACCTCCCTCGACAGAATATCCTCTCCATATGCACCTGAATCACCGTACCAAGTACAACTGTACAACGTCGCATCCAACCACCGTATTTAATGCGGCCACACGCAAATGCCGGTGCCACCTCGATTGAGGTGACCCTCGGCCGTCGGATGCTTGACATGTGTCTCTGTCTAGCATTTATTGCTGCTATAAATAGCAGCCCCTTTTCCCATTGTAAAACATGACTTGAATACACAGCATACTACAATTGAATACTCTCTCTCTTACTTATTGCTCTAGCTTCTCTCTAGATTATTCCCGTAGTAACCCCTCGGATAGGCTACCCCCTGGGTACACTATCTATCATTTGGTGCTCTCGTTGAGAGGTCGAAAAAAAGTAAGAAACCCTCCCCTTCATCAAACACCAAACACATACGAAAATGGGAAGAACTCGTGCTCAGTCCAAGACCCTTGAGGACAACAACCTGGCCCTCGGCGAAGTCAACGCCCCCGGAGCCTCTAACAAGGCTCCCGAGGGCGGGGTCATCGCTGGGGTGGAACAGGCTGCTGTTGACTTGCGCCTTCAGCTCCAGCAGAATGCTCCCGATGCCCGCCTCGACATCGAGGTCCGAAAGAAGGATCGGAGCGAAAACCAAGTTAGCCCTCTAGTCCTCACTATCGACGTGCAGTCCGCATTTTCTGCCTTCATCCAAACACTCACCCAGAATCCTGGTGCCTTCGGCACTCTGGTACCACTTCAGCCGCAGGTCGGGGAGAACGCCATTCCTCCCCCTCTGCTCCCCTTCGTAAACCCTATCATTCGGTTAGGGAACTACGAAGGGGCCGTTGCTCAGGATTCCGCTTCCCAGGAAGTCCAGTCCCGGGACCAGCGCGGTGCGAACAAAGATGCACCCCGAACTTCCACCCTCGACAGGCTCAGAGGAATGCAGGACCGCCGAGGGGTCCAAGACTGCCTCGGTGATAAGGCATTCCAAAGGCCCCAGGAAAGTGGAGGATCCGTCTCGAGGGCAGACGAGAGACGTCCCCCTCGGGACAAGGGCAATGGATTGCTCCATGCCGACGATGCCAGACACCAAATCAACTAGGCCCACTCATCCCGGGGCGGAGGCCCTCCTGAAAGATCACAGGGACGAAATTATTACAGCCCTCCAGCGTCGGCTTGATGAGATGGAGGCCCGTCAAGCACACACCGCCGTTTCCGCCCCTCATGTAGATCCCAAATATGAGGCCATGCTGGCCAAAATGGACGAAATGCAGAAGAAATTTGCCGAGGGCTCTGGGGAACCCGTCATCCAACTCCGAACTAGGACGCCATTAACCCCAAGGGTGTTGGCGGCCCAGATTCCGGGAAAATACAGAGGGCAACACATCAAGCCCTATGAAGGGAAGACTGACCCCCAGGGGAGGTTATAAGAACAACCATAAGGTCTGGGCGCAGCAGCCTGTTCTCTTGGAGCACTCTCGGACACCCCTGACGCATCTCGTCAGCGTCATCCTAGACTTCGCCGAGGAGAGGGGCCTCGTGGAGCGAGATTCTCGTGAACCCCTGGAGGTATATGTCATCAACCCCAATGAACCTTACTGCCGTTTTCATCGCCACCAGGGGCACAAAACCGATGACTTCCACCAATTGAAGACAACCATCGAGAGGTTTATACAAGCGGGTCATTTGTCCCAGTTCGTCAGAGGTCCTCCCTACCACGGCCCCCCTAAAAACGAAAACGCCTGGGTCAACCCGAATACCATACCCCTCGGGGACCCGAAGGGTAAGAAGAGGGAGATCAGGAACCTCAGTGAAGAAGAAGGGTACGACCAGTGCCAAGAGAAGAAGCGTCATATCCAGATGATCACCGGCGGCAACACGAGGGGAGACTCCATCAACCAAAGGAAGAAGTGGGCATAATCCCTTTACGTGGGGGAAGTCACTCACATGCCCCCCGTAAAGTGGTTGAGAGAGGAGCCCATTGTATTCACCAACGCCGATCTCCCCCCAGTTTCCTCTCCTCACCGGGATGCGCTAGTAATCCAGAGTGAGATCAACAACACCATCATCCACAGAACTTACGTTAACACGGGCAGCTCTGTCAATGTGATGTACCTTAGAACATTCAAGGAGCTGCTTCTGGAGAGGGAGTCCTTTCGGCCCATTCGGACCCCTCTGTCCGACTTCACCAGAGACACCATAGATTCCGAGGGGGTAATAACCCTCCCGGTGCTCTTCGGCGACGGGCTCCATAGAGCCAAGCTCGAAGTGGAGTTTATCGTCGTCAACATCGACTGCGCTCACAACATCATCCTCGGTCGGCCTGCCTTTGAGGACCTGGAGGCCATCATATCCATGAGGCACCTATGCCTCAAGTTCCCTACTGAAGGAGGCATCGGGTACTCCAGGGGGAACCAAAAGCTCGCACGCACCTGCTACCTCCAAATAACGAAGAAGGTTTGTAAAACCGAGTTCCATGTTGAGACCATCACCGGGGCAGTAGAAGAGGAGGAGAAGAGGCCGAGGGCAGAACCAGCCGAGGAAGTTGAAGACTTTGCGCTCGATCCGGCCAAGCCGGAGAGAGTCGTGAAGATTGGAGCCAAGCTCCCTGAATATTTGAAGGCCGGCATCACGGATGCCCTCTGCGCCTACTCCATTGTTTTTGCATGGGGGCTGGAGGACATGCCGGGAATCAGCCGAAGGGTAGTCACTCACCGCTTGTCGGTGGACCTTTCCTCCAAACCCGTGCAATAAAGAAGAAGGCCCTTCTCGGCCGAAAGGAGGTATTTTGTAAAGAAAGAGGTTACCATGCTCCTCTCCATCAAACACATTAAGGAGATAAAGTACCCCTCATGGCTGGCTAACGTAGTCCTCGCACAAAAGCCCCTGACCTTCCGCATGTGCGTGGACTACACTGATCTGATAAGGCGTGCCCCATGGACCCTTTCCCGCTACCAAATATTGACCAACTGGTGGACGAAACGGCAGGATGCGAAATCATGTCATTCCTCGATGCCTTCCACGGATATCACCAGATCTTCATGCACGAGGAAGACACTGAAAAAACAGCCTTCATGACCCCCGAGGGCATTTTTTGCTATCTAGTCATGGCCTTCGGCCTGAAGAACTCAGGCGCTACTTACACCCGGATGGTGGCCAGGGTCTTTCAAGCCATCCTAGGGCGCACCATGGAGGCATATGTTGACGACATGATCATCAAAAGCAAGCAATCATCGAGAAACGCTGATGACCTCCGGGAAATTTTCGCCATCATGCAAAAATTTAACCTTCGACTCAACCCGAAGAAATGCACCTTCGGCGTGCAAGGAGGCAAGTTCTTAGGCTACATGGTGAGTCGAAGGGGTATTGAGGCCAACCCCGAGAAAATCCAGGCCATCATCAACATGGAGCCCCCACACAACGTGAAGGAAGTACAAAGGTTGACGGGCCGCCTACTAGCCCTCAACCACTTCCTATCCAAACCAGCGGAGAAATCCCTTCCCTTCTTCCAGATTATGAGGAAGACCGCCAGTTTCCAATGGACATCAGAATGTCAGGAAGCCTTTAAAGAATTGAAAAGGTACATGTCCTCACCCCCTGTGCTCTCCAAACCCAAGGTGGGGGAAACTTTATCTCTACCCCGCTGCCATCAGCTCAGTGCTAATCCAGGAGGAAGACGACATCCAACATGCCATCTTCTATGTTAGCAAGACTCTCAGGGAGGCGGAACTCAGATATTCTCCCATGAAAAGACGGTGCTAGCCATCGTTTGGACCGTCAAGAAACTGGGCCATTACTTCCAAGCCCATCCGGTCCAGGTCCTCACACACCAACCCCTTAGCGCTTTGATGAGGAGCCCCACCAGCTCCTTCCGAATGGTAAAATGGGCTATCTTCCTTAGCCAATACAACATTGACATCCGTCCGAGGCCTGCCATAAAGGGCCAAGCCCTGGCGGACTTCGTGACAGAATGCACGGTAAGATCAGCGGTGGATGAGGAGCCCTCAACACCCTCAGATGAATGGTGGACCCTCTATACCGATGGCTCCTCTGCTACCAAAGAATGTGGAGGAGGGGTAGTTCTCATTACACCCGAAGGTTTCCGTGTCTATTATGTCATCCGCTTCTCCTTCAAAGTCTCCAACAACGAGGCAGAGTATGAGGCCCTTCTCTGTGGCCTTCGGCTGGCAGCTAACATGAAGGCAAGACAGATCCACGTAAAATGTGATTCCAAGTTGGTGGTTGGCCAGATCTCTGGCAAATATGAGGCCAAAGAGCTTCTCAAGGTATTTGAGGCACATTCTCTCACTCAAATACCGAGGGCTCAAAACTCTGAGGCCGACATTTTATCAAAACTCTCGGCCGAATCCCCAGAGCACCTCTCAAAGATTGCAAGAATAGAGGAACTCAACCTTTCTAGCATACACGCGAGCCCCATCATGGACATACACCTAAGGCCGGAGAACTGGATCTCCGACATCATCAACTTCATCACCACAGGGCAACTGCCGGAAGATGAGAACCGCACGAAACTCGCAAAGGTGAGGGCTCCCAGCTACACCCTCGAAGGAGGAAGACTATACAAACGATCTTACAACGGTACATTACTTCGGTGCCTTCATCAGGATGAAGTTGAGGTTGCAATGGAGGAAGTACATAGTGGCTCTTGCTCAGCTCACCAGGGACCCTTCTCCATGTCCCAAAGGCTCATAGTCCAAGGCTACTTCTGGCCCACAGTGGCCTGGGATTGTGCCAATCTCGCCCGGAGATGCGCCGCCTGTCAACACTTTCAGAAGGGCCCCGGAAGACCAGCGGTCAACTATGCCCCCATCAGCACTGCAATAACCTTCTCCAGATGGGGTATTGACCTTGTAGGCCTACTGCCGAGGGGTACCTTCAACAACAGGTACATCATTGTCATCATTTTGTCCTCAAAAACATCCTCACAAGGTTCGGTGTCCCCCAACAAATCATCTCCGACAACGAAACTCAGTTTGAGGTAGCCCCCTTCTGTGCCCTCCTAGAGGCGTGGGACATCAAACACACCTTCTCATCAATTGCCTACCCCCAAGGAAACGGTCAGGTGGAGAATGCCAACCGAACTTTGCTTGAGGGCCTAAAAAAGAAAGTTGAAGCCGAAGGGGAGGCTGGGTAGAAGAACTTCACAACATCCTATGGGCCTACCGCACCACCCCTAGGTGAGCAACAGGCGAAACACCCTTCTCCCTTTGCTATGGATTCGAGGTGAAAGCTCCCACTGAGGTAACCCTTCCTACCCGAAGGGTAGACCAATATGAGCCTGAGGTCAATGACGCCAACATGGCCCTTGACCTTCACCTGATCTCAGAACGCCGGGAGCAAGCCTTCCTAAGGGCAGAAAACTATCGAAGACAGGTGAAAGGCTACATCGATGCTAAGGTCCGTTCCCGAGAATTCCAGGTGGGGGACTACATCCTCCGAAGAAGGGAAGCAAGTCAACCAACCGAAGGCGGCAAGATGGCCCAAAATTTGAAGGCCCATACATCGTGACAACTATCATCAAACCAGGGACTTACAAACTAAAACGCCCCAATGGAACTGAGGTCCCTAGACATTGGAATGTACATCACCTGGTAAAATTTTATCAGTGATGTTAGAGCGGCCAAGCCCTCATGACTCACAAATGTATTATCCAAACGGCCCAAGGCCCCTTATTTTCAAGAATAAACACATGTTGGAGGCACCAAGTACAAAGAACAAAACGCGTGTGAGCAGCCAAGCCCTCATACAAGCTCCTGGCCTAAGGCCTTATCACAAACAAAAAACCCCGGCACCAAGTGCCGAGGGTGGACGCTCCAATCTACTATGATAAAAAAAGGCACCAAGTGTTTTGAAAGACGACCCCTCGGTACCAAGTACCGGGGGAAGTATATGAGGAATAACACCAAGTGTTAAAAAGAACGCCGTACCCCTCGAGGACGCCACTATACCGAAGGCGCCACCTATCGGTCCCGGAGGCACAAAGTGCCCCTGGCCATTTGCAACTAATGTGCAAATAAAACCCTTCCTTGAAATGCTTTCCGTGCCATTACCCCAAGGGAATGGCAGGCAACGGACTATGTCCCGGGCCAAGGATTCGACTTTCAAAAACGAAACGCTTCCCGCGCCATTACCCCAAGGGAACGGCAGGCAACAGACTATGTCTCGGGCTGAGGGAACGACAGGCAACATACTATGTCTCGGGCTGAGGGAACGACTTTCAAAACTGAGGCGCTTTCCGTGCCATCCCCCAAGGGGAGGCAGGCAACAGACTATGTCTCAGGCTGAGGAAAAGACCCTCGATCCCCTCGGAACCCGGAAGGTTAATCCCGAGGGGGGAGCCAACAACTTATACCGTTGCCTCCCGCATAGGCCAAGCCTTACCAAGAAACCAAGTTTCTTGAAGCCTTCCCTTCACTACCTAAAAAAAAGGGTGAAGGGGAGTAGACTCAACGAGCAATCAATGAGTACAAATTTTCGACAGATTTCACAACGGAACAACCTTCGGCGGCCAACGAGAAGATTGCCTTCCGAATCCAACTACTATTCAACAAGCATAGCCTAAAAAATTGGCGAAGTCCACAATCTGGTTGCCTCCGGCACCAGCCAATACCGAGGGCTTCCACGTACAATGGGTTCTAATCCTACAAATGGTTTGAATTGGTTAAATCCAAGCTACAACAGCCTCCGACGTTTCAACATACACCGATGGCATCCACTCCATGTATGGGGCTCAAAATCCAAAGTGCACATCTCCGAGGCCATCTCCGAAGGCTCTTGCTGAACATCATTCTCCATCCCAGCATGGACTGAAGGCATCTGCCCTTACTATGATGGTTGGGCTACAAGATTTCCTAAGTCCACACTTTGGAAATCCACCAAAGCCGAAGGCTCATATGCCCAACAAAGATTGAGGGCACCTACTACAAAGTACCGGAGGCCGGTGCTCACAGGACATGAACTCAAATTTCCTAAGTTTGCACTCCAATAGCCTCCGACACTACAATCAACACCGAAGGCTCCTTTTCTACAAGTGGGTCAAAATCAACTAGCTCCACACTTCTACCAAGGGCTACTACTTGCAAAATTAGTAGGGATTTTTCTAAGTCCACAAGCTAAGTGCTCCCGGCACCACCATACTTTGCTACGGGAAACTTTTCTTAAGACTACTGCGAACCGGGGGTATGCCCATGACACTACCCAAAATTTCGGCTAAGTCCACAATACCGGGCCCTCGGGAGTCTAGGACAAAGGCCACTCTATTTCATACAGCTGAAGGAATCTGCTAACCGAGGGCTAAGTAGTACACATCACTCAGAAAATTTTCTAAGTCCTAAATGTTTGGTCCTCGGTCAACTCGTGGTGCAGACATACATCCATGAAAACATATGCATAAAAGAAATCGTGGGAAATCGAAGGTACTGATTCAGAAAGCGTCAAAATCCTGAAGGCATCCAAACATACATTCACTAAAAAAGGTTAAGTGTTTGTTACAGAATGGCCGAAGCCGAAAGCTTGAAAACATTATTACAGGGCATTGTTCGAAATATATCTAAGTACAATCGTTATCAGCCCCCCCTTCAGCAGTTTTGGAGGTGACCTCTTCGCCGTTGGCCTCATCGGTGTCACCATCACCGGACTCCTTCATCATCTCAGAATCATCGAGCACTGGCCTCTCTTCGCCCGGGGGAAAGGGGAATCTCACATCTGGCTGTAGGGGGAAGACCGTATGCCTCCGGATCGAATTGCTCCAGGGGGGATGTTGAAGTGTCGGGCCAGCCTACGATAAATCAAACGCTGGGTGAAGAACTCACCCCCTTGGTAGTAGCACTCGCCTCTCTCGGCCAACCACATCTCACCGGGGCCTTCAACCCAGGCATCTATCTTCTTCTGCACCATAGAGGAGACCCATTCTTCCCTATCCTCAGCCTCCCAGCCACTGGCAGTAATGGCATCAATAGCAGACCTCTCGGCCAGAGCAACCGCCTCGTTTTTTGCCTTCTCAGCAACTAAAGCGGCGACATGGGCGGCCTCCCCAGCGGCTTTCTCAGCTCCGGCCCTGCCTTCGGCCTTGGCAGCTTCCACCCGCCGGTCAACACCCTCCGTTGCAGCCCGAAGGGTGTCCTCAAGATCGGCCAGCTTTTTCTGGAGGTTGGACTTCTCCTCATTGTCGGCATCCTTCTCCTTCCTAAGCTGCTCCATCCTACGGAAGTGCTCACAGAGACCCATATAAACCTGCAGCAATGAGGGCACGAGGGGTCAAAACACGTTACCACGAAGGCAAGTAAACATAAAAAAAGAAAAGGAAGAAAGCGTACGGAGGCGCTATTCTGGAGGATCCTTGAGTTGAGGCCCTCATCGTTCATCCGGGCGAGGGCCATCCTGTCAGCTGAAGGCATCACCTGGCTCATCAGCGTCGAAGGGTTGAGGCTACCTTCCAGGACAGAAGACCCCTTTGGTACAATTGCCTCCAGCGTCTCCCGGCCGAAGAAGTCCTGATTAACATGTTCCTGGGGTACAGGACCGAGGGCACCCACGTCATCCACAACGATGACGTCGTCAGTGACAGGCTGTTTGCAGAGTCCATAGCCTTCTGCTTCTTAGCCGGGGGCTCAACCCCCTTTCCGGCCCTTTTCTTCTTGATGGCCGCATCAGCCTGAGAGCCCCCGGCTCCAACAACATCACCAGCCTGGGAGGGCTCCTCCCCATCCTTCTTGTAGAAGGCATCCACCGGCTTCTGGGCAGCCGGATCCTTCGCCCTTTTGGTCTTCCCCTTTTGCTTCTTCAAGGTGAAAAGAGAGTTCACGTCCATATTGCTACCTGCAAAAAGAAGACAAACCTAAAATGAGACCGGGGGGTAAAAACAAACAACGTAAATGAGAACTGCAAAAATTGCCAAGTACAAAACGCGGTAGCCTTCGAAATTCACCTCCGACACTCTCGTAAATACGATCCATGGGGGGGTATCTCTCATCTTCCTCCCCCACCAGCCTATAACGCCGAAAGCCCAGCTTGTGAAGGTCATCCGGGAGAGTGGCTTCCTTGATTGACACGTGCTTGTCAGAACCCTTCGACTTTTTTGCGAGCTTCCTACCCTTCTTCTCGAGGGCTGCACCCTCTACCTTCAAATGACACCGAAAGCTATTACAAAGCGGGACCGTAAAGGGTTTCTCCTCCAAGCGGACGTCGCAGAACTTATCCTTCCATCCCTCGTGGGACAAGGGACTTCATCAAATAGCCTAAACTCCGGGAGTTGCTGCAAGTTGGCAAAGCCCCCGACATTCGAATGCCCCCCCCCCCCCCCGGCACAAGTTGAAAGACAGAAAAAACTGGTCCAAGGTGAGTGGGACTCCTCGCCTGCGGCAAAGGGAGAGAAAGCCAGCAATATAGGAATGGCTGTTAGGTGTCAGCTGATAGGGGGCCAACCCCACAAATCTCAGGTACTCCAACAGGAAAGGGTGGAGAGGAAATCGGAGCCCCATTTCAACTGATAAGATATGGGCAGCGAAACAACCCTCGGGTGCATGCAATAACAAATCATCTCGCCTCGGTTCCACCACATGTGCCGAAGTGTCCAAATATGAGTGGCCTTCGGGTATGCCCACCGGCTGCCCAGCGTCGAAAGCGGCCTTTTTCTTCTTTGGGGCGGCCTTCGCTTTCTTCTTCTTCCCCGGGGCTACCCTGAGAGGCGTCGGGTCTAGGGGCCTAGAGCTGCTGGCCTCACCCGCATTACGTGGGGGGAGGATGGCGACGGTAACTTGCATCCTTTTTTTCTCATCCTCCTCCTCAGCAACTTGGAAAGCGAGGGCCATCTCCTCATCCTCGACTACCTGTTCAAACTCTTCGGCTTCTAATTCCATCCGGAGGTTGTCGTGGACCTCCGCGGCCATGGCAAAGTCATTGTTCAGCGAGGCCTGCTCACTGGAGGACTCCACGTCAGAAACACTCTCGGGTTGCACCGAGGCCTCCTTCGAGATATTTTGGGAATCACTTTTGGAAGACATTTTGTAGCGAAGAGTTTTCGAGCGAAAATTTCTAAGATCTAAAGGCCCTTAAACACGAGATCTAAAGGAAAGGAAGCTAGATATGCAAGAAATACGAAGAACGGTGGATGAACTGACCTCGAAAGTAAAAGTTGGATCGAATGGGAGTTTCTCTCTAGAAAAAATTGGCCAGAGCTTCGCTACAATAAAATCGCACAAGGGGATGAGCTCCGGTCTTGGGGGTATTTATAGGCTCCTCACCCCGGGTTTGGGTCGAAGATCTAGGCCCGGTAACGAAATCATCATTACGAACCGTCACTTCAGCCAACCGGTGACGCCCGCCCGAAGCCGGCCAACGGGTACACGCCACGTGGGCAGCCACCTCCAACGGTCATATTCCAACGGTCATATCCCACCTGGTACCCCTCAGACAACTACTGGAGGGCAACTCTTTTGGACCCCTTCATCTAGTGGGAGCCCCCAACATAAAGATGGGGGGAACCCCTCAGGGACCCTTAGCCCTCAATGAATTAAGAACCTGGGAACCCCTCGGGAATACGGGAACTATCATGTGCGTTTGTCACACCCTCAGCCCTCAATGGCTGGGGAACTCCCCTCGACATCCCCGAAATATCCACAAGGTGCCTCCGGCCAATCAGCGAGGAAGCCCTCAGATCACGGATAGCCCTCGGCATCAACATTATGCTCAGACCAAGGATCCGCCTTTTCGATTCATCATTGGGGGAACTCGGTGCACTCTTTTTCCCTCATTAAGATTTTTCCCACAGGGTTTTTCCTAATGAGGTTTTTAACGAGACATCCCTCCAAAATGAATCAAAAAGAGTCGGCCCTCGGCCATATGCTAAAAACAGGCACTACTCTACTCCTTTTCGCCACATTACATATGCCTCAAGGAGTGGGGGACTGGAAGACCCCCTCGGGAAAATCACAAAATGCAAAATGTTAAAAGGGGACTAAGGGACTGCCCTCGGAAAAACACGCAGACGCAAACCTCCTACAAAATTACAAATTACATCGAAATAAACACCAACATCAGAGGACAAACGCAATTACTCCTTTTCCCTCAAGTACCTTTCGGCAAAAGGAGTGACGGACTCCTGATGGAGTATATGGCCTAGGGACCCCCAACCCACATACTTCCACAACTACAATCAGGCCCAACAGGACCAAACGGGCCAAGCCCAGGAAAATGAAGCTCTAAGCAGCCCACAATACGCAAGGGGGTGCCTTTGGCCCCATGATCGAAGGCTACCGTTGACGGATTTGAGCTCAGAAACATCACAGAAGAACAAGGCTTGAAAACCAAGCCTTCGGCATATACAGCCCTTGGCCCAGGGAGGCCCCCGGTTAGAAGAGCCTTCGGCCCAACACCCTTCAGCCGAAGGCACCTCCCTCGACAGAATATCCTCTCCATATGCGCCTGAATCATCGTACCAAGTACAACTAGGGATGGCAACGGGGCGGATCGGGGACGATTTTACATACAATGGGGCAAAAGCTTCTTTATTTATTTGCTTCATTTCTTATGTTGTTGTGTTTATAACTACATCATTTCTTGTTTGTTTTTCCTTTCTTCAAAAAAAATTGTGCACATGTATTTTCATCCAAACAAATATATTTATATTTTCATTTGTATTTTAAAAAAAATGTATCTAGCATAAATGGACTGCACCATGCAAAACAGCCATTTCCAATATACATACTGCACATTTTTTTCAATATAAAATACATTTACGCGAGAATTTGAACAGTTCAATCCATTTCAGTCTAGGCTGGCCCAAATCCAGCCACACTATGGCTATAAACAATTCATTAAATGCCTAATCTTATATTTTTTTAAAAAATAACTCACTCTTATTTATTGCTGAATACAAATCACAAACACTTTTTTAGCCTCCTTAATTGCTCACATGCATCAATGGCCAATCAGAAAAGTGCTGCCGTCCTTTCCTATCCTCGGCTTAATTCAAAACGCCCCCCGTGAAACATGAACCCTCTATTACGCTTCTTCTTCTCTCATTCTCCGCATAATCTGACGCTCAAGGAAGTCCAACCGCAATCGCAAGTAAGTTCTCCAACCCATCTCATCTCTGTCTCACTTGTCTGAGCGTCCAGGATTCTTGCTAAATCCTGGTAGCTTCAAACAAGGTAAGGTCTTGTTGGTTTCTATTCCTTTTGAAGTTTTGTTGACGCTATTCTGCTTACTGTGCTCTGCCTTAGGATGTATAATTTTAACAATACTTCTCATTTCCTTTGTACATGTTGTAATTTTACATATATAATTACCTCATCATTTTGCTGATGGTGTTCTGTTCCCTGTGCTCTGAGGTCTGATAGTTTCAATTCCTTTGCATGTGTGTATGGGAACGACCACACAAATGAAACAACTATATCTTTATATTTCATGACTTTTCAAATATATTCAAGCATATTAAAACAAAAAACTAACTACCCAGCATTTCACCATTTTGTGAGTCATGTCCACACCCCGAATTATACCATATTCCATATTTTGCGCAGCTGTTCAAACCTCAGGGCAATTATATACCCAACTACTTGTTATGCAATATGTTTTCATCATCTGCACAGTACACATAATGCAGTCATTTACTTATTCATACTATGTCATTTCCGTTTGGCGGACCATGGATTTGTTCAATAGATGTACTGTGGAAACTGGCAAAGACACTTCAGGTGCTAACACCTTCACATATTACCTCCACACTGTTCATGGAAGAAAAATATCTGTTGTCGTGCTCATTGAAACAGGGAGCAACACATATGACTGGGAGACCAGCATGGCCTGGCAGCACTTCTTAATTGCCTCAGGATTCAACAGACTGTTACCAACACGGTTTAGAAACAAGACAGAACTTGAACATAAACTGAATCATTTTATGTGGCGTGGTCTTATCTTGCCCCCGCTTGCAGGTTGGTTGACTGTACTTCCTTCCAGATCATGTGCTTGTTCCTCCAATTCTCTCTGGTTTGGTGTCTCCTGGATATCCCAGACATTGACACAACAGTATACTTAATAATATTTCATTCAATACATTTATATTGAAGTCTACTTTGCATGTTTTCATGGTTATTCGCAGCTTTGCTGCATTGATTATTATTTTTGTGTTCTTGCATCTAGATAATACCTCCTTGCATACATCGCCACTTATTTGAGCACAACAAGCAGCAAGCTGTACTAAGGTATGGAGCTACCTCTACGACAACGCATGTTGAGGCATACACATTCAAAGATGAATTCACCCATTTCATGGTGGAAAATGATATCCCCTCTGGCACGCACATGCTGCTCCGCCACACCGGAAATTTCATGTTTGATATCCTGACATTTGACGCAGAAGGTTTTGCATTGAACTTGGGCCCATCACCCAATGGTACGTGTGACGCCCCACTCACGGAAGGTATATCCCCTGGACATTCAGAAAGCCTTTTCATATACAACACCCCCTAAACTCCCAGAACTTGTAAATATATATGATTGTTCACTCTTACTTACAACACAGATCATTTCCTTGTGTTCGTGGAATCCGCGTTTCCTTCATGCTCATACCGACAACTGTTTAGTACTGCATCATTCCTTTATCTGCCCACTCATATTGCAGGGGTATGTAGTGTTTTGTTTTCACACATTTCAGCTCGTCTTCTTCAAATCCCACTTAACTTTGATTATTTAACGCAGGAAACTTGTGAAGCATTTTTAAAAACATGTTGTGATAAGTGTGGGCGAGTACATATATGGCACGACACTGAAGACGAGTACTTTAAGGGCACCGAACCTGATATTCTGCAGGACATTCAACAGACTTTCCAAATCAATGAAGATTGCTATATAGTCTTTTTTAGATATGGTCGAGGCAGACTTAGACTCCTTACCATTTCCGCATGTGGTGTGGAGGAGCCGCCTCGCCATAAACACACATATGAGATCGGCACCTTTACATGCAGCGACATAAATGGGCATGTTTGACACTCTACAACATTGGCAGCCCTTTGATGTCCTACTACGTTGTGTTTTTCCCCCAGATGTTCTTCTTTTCAAGGGGTGAAGTATTTAAGACTGCATTTCTGTCGAGTTTGACACTTTTAACATGTTGTTTCTCAAACTTATTTGACACTCTACAACATTAACAGACCTTCAACGTACTACTACTTTAACTGTTATCATTTTCGAGGGGTGAATTCTGTTACACTGTTGTTTGTCGATTTCGACATTTTTAACGTGCTATTTCTCAAACTTATTTTTCATTGTTGTTGCTGATTTTTCACATCCCGTTTTCACCATTGGGCACCGTCCCTCGCGCAAAGCGCGGATCACTACTAGTATTTTTATAAGTTCCAAGTTCATTATTATTACTACCGGCCGATAAAGAAATACGAACCAATAATCATTCTTGTTGTATCCTGATACACCTGTAAGTATCAAATGTACTTTTCGAGCAAATACAAGCTCCTGCTAATCGTACTTCGAGTGTACGCACTCCAAATTCTCGACTAGAAAGGCAAAGAACAAACTGAAATTTTATTTCTCGATGCCCTCCATAATACAAGATGTAGACTATTTATTCTATTGGCATATTGCCTGCTACGAAAACAAATAAGGAAAATGCATAAACTAATCAACTAAAATTAAGGGATCTTATTGCTCCTTTCCTTGCATGGATTTCAATCACTTTGTCCCCAATTAGAAATGACCTGGAATGTCTCTTACCCATAAATAAAAGATGGGTCTTGATTTGCTTTCCTTACACGTGTGGTGTGCCGTATCTGAGTTGGTGGTCTTTCAGTTTGAATGGTTGGCGTATCATCCCCCGCGCCTTGAGACACCACCTTGTCCTCAAGGTGAATATTTGGATAATGATTGGTGAGAGTAGTGCGCGGTTCCCATGTCGCGTCTTCTCGCCCGGCATCACTCCACTGGACCAAAAGCTGGTCTTTAAAACTTCCATGGCGAAGGACTGTTCTGTGGTCAAGAATAACAACCGGTGTTGGCACAGGTTTGCCGTCTTCAAATGCTGATGGAAGGGGAATTATGTCATGAGCAACATCCCCCTTAAAACGCTTCAATAATGAGACGTGGAACACGGGGTGAACTCGTGTAGTATCCGGAAGTTTGAGTCGATAAGCCACTGCCCCTATGCGTTCTAGAACTGGAAATGGTCCATAATAACGACATGCAAGCTTCTAGTTCTTGCGCCACGCAATTAAATGTTGGTGGTAAGGTTGGAGTTTCAGTAACACTAGGTCACCTACCACGAATTCGAGCTCACGTCGTTTCTTATTTGCTTTCTGGGCCATACGGTGTTGGGCAGCTCAGAGATTGATGTGAAGGGATTTCAGTAGGAGTTGTCGGTCTCTTAGCATCTCGTCCACTGCCTGCACATTGGTACTACCGGGTGAGTAAAACGGAATAGTAGGGGGTGGCGACCATATAGAGCATGAAAAGGTGTAGTCTTGAGGCTTTCATGAACTGACGTGTTAAGGCAATATTCTGGCCATCCAATGAAGGTCCTCCACCGCGTAGGCCGGGAGTGTGTGAAAGCCCGCACGTATTGTTCAATGTCGTGGTCGGATACTTCGAACTGTCCATCCGTTTGTGGATGGTAGACAGTGCTGTGTTTGAGGGTTGTGCCACTCAACTTAAATAGCTCCTTCCAAAAATGACTCAAGAAAACCCGATCTCGGTCAGAGACAATGGAACCTGGAAACCCATGTAATTTTACCACAATATCTGTAAATAGCATTGCCGCCTTGGCAGCATCAAAAGAGGCAAGTAAACACCCGAGATGAGTATATTTAGTGAGGCAATCGACTACAACCATAATCACGGAATAGCCTTGAGAAAGTGGTAGCCCGGTGATGAAATCCATTGTAACATGATCCCAAACTTGAGAGGGTACCGGAAGCAGTTGCAGCATGCTAGCAGGTGGTTGTGTGGAATACTTCGTGGTTTGACATATCATGCATGAAGACACAAAATTCTCAACATCCTCTCGCATGTTTACCCAATAAAATGAGGCGCTTAAGCGAGCTAAAGTGTGCTTTACTCCTGCGTGGCCTGCCATCGGGCTAGAGTGGAATTCCCGGAGGAGCGTTTGCTTGAGAGGGGAAGACATACCGATGTAATAACGGGGTTTAAAAAATAAAATCCCATCCTAGCTTGACATGTATGTCTGGCAATCATTTTCCATCTTCCAACTGCTTATGGATATCTATTAAATCCGGTTGTCCCCTGATTTTCACGCTGAATATCCTCTAATAAAGTCGAAATAGGTTGACAAACTGCCATGAAGTGAACATGGGTTGGGGAAACTTCAGATTCATCACGCCGGGACAAGGCGTCCGCCACCTTGTTTGAAGACCCGGTTTTAAATTCAATAATAAACTGATATCCCAAAAGTTCTCTCACATATAGATGTTGTCATGGGGTCTGAATGACCTGTTGTAACAGCTCTCTCAGGCTCTTATGGTCTGTCTGGATGGTGAAGATGGTACCCAAGAGGTATTGTCGCCATTTGGACACGGCTTTGACGATGGCATGGAGTTCTCGGACATATGCAGATGTAGCCAATAGTCCTTGTCCCAACTTCTTGCTGAAGAAGGCGAGTGGGTGGTCTGCTTGCATCAGGACGACGCCAATGCCACTGGCTGAGGCGACTGTTTCGACGACGAATGGTAGTGTGAAATCCGGTAGGCGCAGAACTGGTGCATGTGTCATAGCCTCCTTGAGAACCATAAATGCGGTTGTGGCTGCCTCTGACCAATTAAAGGTGTCTTTCTTCAATAAATCCGTCAAAGGACTTGCAATGGTCGCATAATGGCGCACGAAACGCCTATAATAACCTGTCATGCCCAAAAAACCCCGGAGTTGCTTAGTTGACGTCGGTTGAGGCCACTCAACCATGGCTGATTTTTTGTCTGGGTCAGGCGTTCATGGTTCCATCTGAAATGATGTTTCCAAGATAATCCACAGAAGTCCTACAAAAAAGGCATTTAGTGAGTTTAATGAAAATTTTATGGCAAGCCAGTGTTTCCAAGACAATCTGGAGGTGTTGAATGTGGAGTTCCATGGTAGGACTGTAAATAAGGATATCATCGAAAAACACCACCACAAATTTTCGCAAGTAAGGTTTAAATAAATAATTCATGGTGGCTTGGAAAGTGGAGGGAGCGTTGGTGAGTCCAAATGGCATCACTAAGAACTCGTAATGGTCATCGTGTGTTCGAAAGGCCGTTTTAAAAATGTCCTTCTCATGCATGCGGATATGGTGATAACCCGACCGTAGATCCAGTTTGGTGAAGAACTTTGCCATCCCCAGTTTATCAAATAACTCGTCAATTGTGGGAATCGGAAAATGATCACGAATAGTGACTTTATTTAACACCCTGTAGTCCACACAAAATCGGAAGCTACCGTCTTTCTTTTTAACTAATAAGACGGGGGAGGAGAAAGGACTACTTCTGGGTTGGATAATCCCTTGGGCCAACATCTCCTGAACTAACTTCTCCATTTCTGTCTTTTGGAAGTGAGGGTAACGGTAGGACCGAACATTGATTGGTTTTGATCCTGGAATCAGGTGAATGTGATGATCAAATAGGCGGTGAGGTGGCAGCCCCTATGGAATGCGAAAAACTGTCGTATAGTGACGGAGCAGGTCCAAGATGGGTTGAGGCAAGTCGTTTGGCCATTGTAATGAGTCTTCATGCACCAATGAGGCAGTAGGTTGGGTGACCAATTCAAAGCAACTATGAATCTCATCATCTCGTATCAGCGTGAGTAAATGATTATAAGAAATGGGTTGTAGTTGTGGAGAAAGGTCACCTTGCAAACAGATACGTTGTTTGTTCCAAAAAACTCCATGGTAACGTTGGCATAATCATGTGTGACTTTCCCCAATAGTTCCAGCCATTGGACGCCTGATAATTCCGTATTTAAACTCACATTTGATACATGTTGAGATCGGTTTTGATGGTTTTCCTAGCTTAAAGGTGTCATAAATCTCATTATTAGCTCAAGTCATATTTTACCGGGCGTTGGATCGAGTTTGGTATTTTTGAGTCAACATCAGGGAGTTTAAGCCCGGCACAAGTGCTTGAGAAGAAATCGGGGTGATTTGAGATGCATTTGAGAATGAATCGAGAGTTTTAGAGGTCCCTGTTAGGTTTACGACGAAGTTTTGATGACAAGAGAGCTCTAGGAGTGGTACGGGATCAAATGAAGATGAATAGAGTTTGAAAACGGCTTTCTGGATGACCTTCTATCAATCATTCAAGCATATCTTTTGGCAGAAACATCCAAAGGACACGATTCAAGTCCCATATGAAAGCCAACTTCAAGGGCTACAATTCATATGAAAACACCGATGCGAGAATATAAGAGTAGAAAGGTGAAAACAAACGAAGAAGTCAGATGATCGCTGTTGCGATTTCAGAATGCGACCATCCACCATTTTGTTCATATCTTTTGATTGGATTATTCAAATCAAGTTCTGAAAGTTGTGATGGATAAAAGACTTCATTGTCTACAACTTTCATGAAGGAAGAATTGTCAAATTCTGAAGTTTTACGCACACCGTGCGTAGGGGGACGCATGGTCGTGCGTCCGAGGTTAAATTTCGAAGACACGCTGCCAGCCACGCATGGCCGTGTGTGTCAAATTTTTACGCGGCGATGCTCCAGACGCACTGGGGGATGCAAGCCGTGCGTGGGTGCCATGCGTGCGCTCTCGGTGTTCTTTTTTGATCAGAATTGCTCCATTTTTTCTATTTAAATAGTCTGTAAACCCATGTTTTCAGGGGGAGCTTAGAGAGAATGCCTAGAACGAAATTTAGAGAGGTTTATGTGAGAATTAATGGAAAAGGTACTCCAATAGGAGTCCTAGCTGATATATTTATATACAAGAGTTTGAGAAATACAAGGAAACAAGTATCCTAATAATATTCTATTACACCCCCTCAAACTGTGCGGGAGATACAACGCGCAGGTTGTCTTTTAAAAAATGAAATTGCTCACTAGAAAGAATTTTAGTAAAAATATCAGCTAACTGTAACTGTGTAGGGATGTACTTCACAACTAAGTCTCCATGAGCCACACGCTCTCTGACAAAATGATAATCGATCTTGATATGCTTGCTACGGGCATGCTGAACTGGATTTGCAGTCAAATAAGAAGCAGATATGTTGTCACAAAATAACTGAACTGGAACTGTTAGGATGTTTTTACTTGGACTGTAATTTGCTGGTCTGGTCTGGTCTGGTCAGGTCTGGGAGGAATTACAGTCCAAGTAAAAACATCCTTACTGGGAAACCAAGCTCAAACAGGACGGAACGAATATGTAAAGTGTCCTGAACCGTATAAGCTACAACTCGATATTCTGCTTCTGTAAAGGACTTGGAAACGGTAGACTGCTTTTTGGACTTCCACGACACAAGGTTAGGTCCCAAAAACACTACAAAACCAGTCGTGGAACGAGATGTATCTGGACAACCTGCCCAATCCGCATCTGAATAGGCAATAATGCAGGTAGCCTGAGTAGTTGACTGAAGCCATAATCCATGATCAAGTGTCCCCTGCAAATACCTAAAAATACGCTTGACTGCAAACAAATGAGTAGTACGAGGGGTATGCATAAACTGAGACACTAAATGCACAACATAGGTAATATCAGGTCGTGTCAAAGTTAAATATTGTAACGCACCAATCATACTTCTATACTCAGTGGCATCTGCAAGAAGTTCCCCATCAGTAAGAGACATGGAGGTGTGAGTAGCAAGTGGGGTATGAACAGACTTAACAGTGTGGAGATGGAAACGAGAGAGAAGATCAGAAACGTATTTATGCTGGGATAGAAATAAACCCTTAGTGTTAAGCATAGCCTGGACTCCTAAAAAATAGTTAAGATCTCCGAGATCTTTCATAGCAAAATATTTAGCAAAAAGCTGAATGAAGGAATTAATAACAGCGGAAGAATTGCCAGTAATAATTATGTCATCTACATATAATAATAAATAAATGACATTATTATTCTGGTGATAAATGAATAACGAATTATCAGACTTGTTGCACGTAAAGTGATGAGACAATAGAAAGCTGCTAAAACGATAAAACCATGCACGCGGGGCTTGCTTAAGACCATAAATGGCTTTTCGCAGTTGGCATAAATGGTTAGGAAACAAAGGGTGTATAAAACCCCGCGGCTGACGCATATAAACTTCCTCTGTGAGGTAACCATGCAAAAATGCATTTTTGACATCCAATTGACGAATGACCCACCCAAAAGAAACAACTAAAGTAAGTACAATACGAACTGTGGTGGGATTAATGACTCGACTAAATGTTTCAGAAAAATCCACACTTGCCTGTTGATTAAAACCTTGAGCAACCAAACGTGCTTTATGGCGCTCAATGGAACCATCTGAATTGTATTTAGTTTTATAAATCCACTTAGAGCCCACAACAATTTTAGTATTATCAAAAGGGACTCAATCCCAAGTATTATTAGAAATAAGAGCATTAAATTCCTCAGTCATTGCCGCACGCCATTTTAACTGTTTATTAGCCTCTGAAAAACATGTAGGATCAGCTGATAAAACAACATTGTTCAAATTAAAAATAATTTTTGGTTTAAAAATTCCTGATTTCGCCCTTTTTTGCATGGGATGAATATTTGTGACGGTGTCATAAATAGTGGAAGGGGAGGGAATGGCAGCCGTGGATGTAGCTGACGAGGGATCAGGGACGGTTGAAATAACGGGGGAGTTATTCAAGGACACGACAGAGGGAATGGGTGGGGAATTTGGTGGAATGTTTGGTGCGGTGGGTGAGGGTGACGAAGAAGATGAGTGTTCGGCTGGAGGTGACTGGGGCACGGCTGGGCTGGTGGGATCCGGGACCGTAGGGACAGCTGGGAGGATAGTTTCGGTTATGGTTGGGGCAGCAGGGTCGAGAGGAGCGGTGGAGGTAGTGGTAGGGAGAGTGAAGTCATTATTTAGAGGAGGAGAAGAAGGAGTAGTGGTGGTCGGAGAAGAAGACAATGTGGCGTACGGAAAAATATTTTCATGAAAATGAACTTGTCTACTAATAAAAACTTTGCCAGACTTGGGCTCAAAACAACAATATCCTTTAAAACTAGACGCATAGCCAAGAAAAATACATTGAACGGAGCGGGCAGAAAGTTTGTTGAAAGGGGATGCAGAAAAATTGGGATAACAAGCACACACAAACACACGTAATAAGCTATAATCAGGAGGTTTTTGAAAAAGAATATTGTATGGGGAAACACCATTAAGATTAGGAGTAGGAAGTCTATTAATAATATATGACATCAACCCAAAAAGAGCTAGGAATAGAGGCTGTGATGAGCATAGTCCTAGCAAATTCTAAAAGATGACGATGTTTGCGTTCAGCAACACCATTTTGTTGTGGAGTATTTGGGCAGGACTTTTGAAAAAGAATGCCATGGTCAGCAAAAATTTGGTGCATATGAGAATTAACAAACTCACACCCTCCATCACTTTGAAAAATTTTAATTTTAGAGTTAAACAAATTCTCAACTAAAGCTTTAAAAATTTTAAACTGATGAAAAACTTTATTTTTAGTGCGCAAAGGATATATCCAAGTATACCTTGAAAAATCATCAATAAAACAAACATAGTGTTTGAAACCTAAATTAGATAAAACAGGGGATTGCCATACATCAGAATGAATTAATTGTAACGGAACAGAAGAATTATGGCTAGCATATGAAAAAGGTAACCGTTGAGATTTACCCAAACGACAAGAAACACAATCATGTTCAAAAGTAGACGAACTAGAAATAAGATTTCTTCGACGCAACACGCGCAAAATAGTTTCACCACAATGTCCTAATCTACGATGCCACACAGGGCCAAGAGACGTGATGGTGGCTAAAGCTACAGGTGCTGGTGAAGAGAGGCTGATAGGGTAGAGGTGGCCATTATGACGCGCCTGAAGAATAACTGCCCCGAAATTTTGTCCTTAACAAAAAAATAGTTTTTGTCAAAAAATAACAACACAATTGTTATCAGCACACAATTTTTGTATTGAAATTAAATTAAATTTAATTCGAGGCACATGAAAAACAGATTTTAACGACGGCGGGCGACTGAGAGTATTTAATGTAATATCTCCAATATTAGCAATGGGAAGAGAAGTACCATTTGCAACATTAACAGTCATGGAGCCAGAGTAAAGGAATTTATTGGACAAAATACCTTTAGAAGATGTCATATGAGCAGAAACACCCGAGTCGGGATACCATAAAGCCTCGTTGGATTCCCCACTCGGAGTAATCAAACCAGGTGCAGATGTCTGAGAAAAACGAGACGGGTAATGCAACGCAAAATGACCTGCAGAAAAACAAATTTGACATACAACTGGGGAAGGAACAAACCCAAGAATACCCTCAGCTGATTGGAAACCTGCATAATGACAATTAGTACCAGAATACCCTCAACTGGGGAAGGAACAAACCCAAGTCAGAGCTGCCGGTGGCACATACGGTGGCTGCTGCTGGTGACATCCTTCTCTGCTGCGTCCCCCGCGGCCTCGGCCGCCTCGGCCGCGACCGCCACGGCCTCGGTATGCATTGGACTGACTCAGCTGCCCAGTCCCTACTTGGGCACCGAATGCCTGCTGGAGAGTAAGTATCGTGGTGCTGCTGATGCAATAAATTCTACTCGGCTTCCATGAGGCGTGGGTGGAGAATGTCAGGGTGGAGAAAGCTTTCAGGGAACAAAGACATGGTGCCCGTAACAAACTGATACTCAGGTCCTAACCCACGGAGCGTGCTTTGTAGTAATTCTTTATCAGTCACAGGCGAATTAATTGCAGCTAAAGCATCAGCCAGATTTTTAAGTTCACGTAAATATTGCTCCATGGACTGATTTGGTTTCTTTTGAGTATTAGACAATAAACGTTTAAGTTCCATAGCTCTAGGTAAACTGGCAGACATAAATCTGGATTGTAAGCGCTCCCATATACCCAGTGAATGTTTAATATCATGCACATCAGTTAATACTTCACGAGATAAAGTAGCAAACAACCAAGAATGAATTGTTTGATCTACTCGAAGCCAATGATAATAATCAGTATTAACGACCTGCTGATTATTAAAATCCAGAGTGTATAAGGGAGGTACCTGGATAGAGCCGTCTAACTTACCAAAAAGACCATGGGATACCACGAACGATTCAAATTGAGTGCGCCATGTGAGATAGTCTTCAACTGCTTTGAGTTTGATGGTCACAATCTGGCCACCATTAGCAATCCCATGAGACACAGCTTGAGCCATAGCTGCCATAGGAGAACCAAAAAGAGGAGTATAATGTTGTGGCTGAATGACGCCCGCGAAGCCAACAAACGATGGACCACAGAATGGAGAAGCTGATGTCGGTGCAGTCCTTGGTGCTGGAACAGAAGATGAAATCCCCGAAGAACCAACGAACGTGGGTCCCGAGAATTGAGTAGCCGGTGGTGCAGAGAAAGAGGGTGGCGGGTCCAGAGAGAGCTGCTGAACATGGGATGGAGCCGGCCATGAGAACACCGGCGGCAGATTCTGGAAAAACGAGTAATTCGGCGGAGTGATTCTGGTCAGCGAAGCAGAGACGGAGGCAGTGACTGTCGTTGAAATCTGCGCACCAGGATAGAGGGGCTGCGAAGGGGAGGAGACCTGCGCACCATACATTGGGGGCTGCGAACCAAAGGAGAGAGGTGCGCCACTTGAACATGTTGCGATGGAAGCGCCAGATACCGCCTAGATTGAAGAATCCATTGAGAGGGAAGAAGAAGTTGTGGCTGTGTTCATGGCGTGAGGGAAGAGAACGGCGATTACAGTGAATCCCAAGGGAGGATCGAGAGAAAAAAAATTAGGTTTTTCTCTGTTCTCTTGATACCATGCGAGAATTAATGGAAAAGGTACTCCAATAGGAGTCCTGACAGATATATTTAGATATAAGAGTTTGAGACATACAAGGAAACAAGTATCCTAATAATATTCTATTAGTTTAAAGCCTTGTTCATCAATCTTTTGGAATTCTTTGTAAGTTCCATCTTTTTAATTAATGATAATTAATTCTATTCAGCCCAATTCCGTTGATTCTTCAATTATGAATTGTGAGTAGTTTAATTAGGGATTTGAGATTGATGAGGGGGTTAATCATGATGTATGGCTAGATTCTTGAGGGTTTATTTGTATGAATGCCGTTTAATTTGTGTTTGAATAATTTAACTGATATCTTTTGTAACCTAGAACGGCCGCTAGAATTACAATTGCTTGTAGAATAAATTAAGAGAAATCTAGTTTATTTTAGGACACCTTCACACACACTTAATCATTCGCTAAGAGATTAGTAACGATTAAGGGGTCGTAAGCTCACTCATCTTGGCAATAGTTTAGAATCATGTCGCATGAGAGATCAACCTGGTCCCCTAAATTATTGTACTCTACGCCGCGAGAGCGGTAAGAACTTAGTAATGATTAGCTAGACTCAATTAAATTAATTTCATGTGATTAAGCATGATCAGCCAGAAATATGATTACCCCGAAATCAATCCCTATTCCCTTCGTCATTAATTAGAAAGAACCCATTTATTTTTTCGTTAATTTGCAATTTAATTTTCCATCAATTCAAATCTCGCACAATTTATTTTAATTTTATTTATTTTTAATCGCTGAATTTATTTAGTTCTTAATTCCCTTTTGTCCGTTCCTGTGGAGATGATACTCGTACTTGCACCCTATACTACTACCCATATTTTTAAGTGCGAGAAAACTCACATCAGTTTTTTGGGCCGTTGCCGGGGAACATTTGATCGGTAACATGAATAAATCAACAAGAATGGGAACATTTTGCAATTTTAAAGGAACCTGAACACAAGCATGCGTGCAGCGTAATGAATCACCGTTACCGATGTACACCCAGAATGGAGGCACTTCCATTACTGGTAAGTGCAATTTTTCAGCAATGCTAGGTTGAATAAAGTTGTGCGTACTGCCGCCATCGATAAGGATGTGTAAATTCATCGTGTGCACTGACCCGGTGAGACGCAGGGATCTGGGAATCCCAGGGCCAGCCATTGAGTGAAGGCTAGAGCAGTCCCCGGTCAGAATGGCTTCCTCTTCAACATTAAGCGGATCCGAGAACGCTGGCTGCTTATCATCCTCGCTGCACATCAGGAGTAAGGCACGGTTGGGGCATTTGTCATTTCAGGACCACTTCTGGTTGCAGGTATAGCATTCGCCCTTTTCAAACTTGGCTTGTTTCTCTGCTGGACTAATTTGGACTATGGGAAGGTTCTTTTGATGAGCAGCGGTATGAGGATGCTGCTGAATTTGGTTCAAACGAGGCGGGTTGAGAGTTGTGGACAAAGCTTGCGGGGTAGGTGCGGCGGCGGGTTGTGGTATCGGCTTGGTATATGTAGACGCAGATTTGAAAGTAGTGTATAGGTCCCCATGTTGAGCCTCAATCTCACTGGCCAGTGCAAAGGTGCGGATTAATGTGTCTGGTTTGGCTCGTTGCACCTCACGTCCAACTGTGGATTGGAGTCCGGCGACAAACATTGAAATCAAAATCGCATCCGGTACACCCGTCACTTTGTTTAATAATTTTTCGTATTCTGCCCGATACACTGCCACCGTGGTGAGTTGCCTGGTCTTGGATAATTTGCCCACAAAATCCTCAAAATACACTGGATCAAAGTGATGCTTCAACTAATCCAGAAATTCAGCCCACGAATGAAGAAGGTTATTATTCTTCATCCACCGAAGTCATTCGGAGGCTTCACGCTCCATCATGAAGGACACAAAGGATAGGCGTTGAGCATCAAAAACTTGATGGTACTCAAAATACTCTGTAGCTTGGAAAATCCAAGTATGCGGATCAGTACCGTCAAAGGTGGGAAGAGCTATTTTGGGATGAGAGTACGATGTAGGGAATTTCCACCCTCTTTCTTGGAAGTTGCCAAGAGGCATCGCATCTCACACCTTCTAGGAAGGAGCCATCCAACATTAAGGTACTTTCACATCCCTTCATGGAAGTTGCTTGGAGATAGCTAGGAAACTCCCTAGCAATGGGAATGGAAGTTAGAATGCAACTTCTCCCATATACACCTATAAATAGGGTGTGTATTGATGCCCATTATCATCAGTTT